TTTTCCCAAGACAGGGTCTCACTTTGTAGCTCCAGCTATCCTGGAACTTGTTATGTAGACCAGGCTGGCCTCAAACTCACAGAGATCCACTGGGATTAGAGGTGTGCACCATAATGGAGTGACAGAAATGTGTGTGTGTGTGTGTGTGTGTGTGTGTATTTGTTATTGTTGTTTTCAAGACAGGGTTTCTCTGTGTAGCCCTGGCTGTCATTGGAACTCACTATGTAGAGCAGGCTGGCCTTGAACTGACAGAGATTCACCTGCCTCTGTCTCCAAGTGCTGGGATTAAAGGCTTGAGCCACCACTGCCCGGCTCAGAAATATATTTTAACTGTTTGTTCCTGATGAAACATTAAGCACTGAATCCTCTGTTATTACTCATCCTCACAGGAAACTGGTTAGTTTCTTTCTTAGCAAGCATTTCTCCTTAGCAATTCAACATCAAAAAGGAATGTCTCCCAAAGAATATAGCTCAATGAATGAAATATTTAATAATAAACCTTAATCATTATTGGAAGGTGAAAACTTATTAGTTCTTGAAAAATAGTTTCTATAACAAGGATCACAAAAGAGCATTACTTCTAATACAGTTCTAAATACATACTAATTTGATCTCATTCCTCTTAAGTGCACACAGATTAAGAGAACTCAGGTTTTGAAGTGACTATGAGTTGTGGTGAATTTAGTATAACATATTCAGATTCAGCAGCCCACCTCTATAAAAACTGGCACTAGATACCTTGTTCTTAAGAAAAGAAAAAGCAGTTCTTACTAACCATTATTTATATATATATATATATATATTAGATATGAAATTTGCATTAAATAAGATAAAGAATAAACTTTATGTTGACTAGGATACAGATGTAAAGATAATTAATTGTAGAGTTTCACCTACTTCTAAAGTAACAGTGTTTTATACTTAGATAGAGATCATGTAGCTAAAACAAAGTGAATAAGAATGGGAGATCAGACTTAGAAAAGTCAAAAGTGATGGATATCCATGTAAAGTATTGAGGTCAAATTTCATATTATATTGTTCATGCTTTGAATATTAAACTTTGATATCCACTTGAAATTCTTATTTTTTTAAAAAATTAAAATTCAAATGCACTCTAAAATGAGTCTACAGAAAAAAAACTTTTCTAGGTGATTCCTCCTGTCTTTCTTAGTAAGGACTTGCTGTGTAGCCCAGGCTAGACTGGAATTTACAATCTTATTACCTCCACCTCCTGAGCGCTGGGATTACAGGTGTGCACCACTACATTTAGCTAGGTTAATTTCATAACAATTACTTTTGAAATTTCTAGCTACTCAATATTTCATTAAAAAGAATCTTATAATAAACATACGGATTACTGGCTATTTAGTACTAGGTATAAATATACTTATTTAATGAGCTAAATATCAGATCAGATATTTTCAGTTTTCAAATATGAACTAAATATATAAATTGTAATACTATAAATTCAGTAAGAACTCTAGTATAGAAAAATGTAAATATTATTTAAATTATTTTCTGTTCAAAAATTCAATCTTTAAAAAAAAAAAAGCCCAAAATTTTGCAAGCAGTAGGGATTATAACATTTCCCCCCATTCTCTGAATTATTCATCTTTCTATTCCTAAGTAGGGATTTACCTCTAATCCCATATAAAATACATTTACTTGTGTTATTTATCCAATTAATTCAATTTAAACTTTTCAATACTTACCAAGCCATTGAAATTCCTGACAGATGACCATTAGTACCATTCATTTATAGTTAAAGGTATAAAGCCTGGGGGATAAACTGCAAATGCAGAGTCTAAGGATGTGACTGGCAGATCTGTGCTGCTATGCAAATGTAGAGGGATGTGATTGGTGGCTCTGTGATACTATGCAAATGTAGAGGGATGTGATTGGTGGCTCTGTGATACTATGCAAATGTAGAGGGATGTGATTGGTGGCTCTGTGCTGCTATGCAAATCTATAGGGATGTGACTGGCAGATCTGTGCTGCTATGCAAATGTAGGATGTGATTGGTGGCTCTGTGATACTATGCAAATCTATAGGGATGTGATTGGTGGCTCTGTGCTGCTATGCAAATCTACAGGGATGTGATTGGTGGCTCTGTGCTGCTATGCAAATCTACAGGGATGTGATTGGAGGCTCTGTGTTACTATGCAAATCTATAGGGATGTGATTGGAGGCTCTGTGCTGCTATGCAAATGTATAGGGATATGATTGGCAGCTCAGTGTTACCATATAAATCTATTGCTCTATCTTTCCAAATAAGACAGATGACAAATGTTCTCTCACCTGTTGGCTAATTTAAACTCTCCTCACAATTCTACATTTCCTGACACACCTCCATATGCACTCACACTGCTTTTATTATTCGACTTGGTTGTCTTGTAAGAAACAATACTCGGTATTTCCGGGGATGAGATAACCATTTGTGTTTACACTAAATTACTGTGATCTTTTCAAACACACGTCTTATTGGATAATAAAAAAAAAAATAAAGGAATACAAAATGAAGTAAAATATTTCTTAAGGGGAATACAAATATGGAATTGACAACAAATACTCAAGTTTTAAGTCAGAGCTGCACCATTCAGTTCTGGTCCAGTGGCGGACATGCCATGCCCCAGCAATCTTCCCCTTCTAAGACATCAGAAGGTGCCAGAGCTGTCAATTCTGAAAGCTTTGAACATTTTATGTAGCAGATAATTTTTGACAGTCCAGAAAAGTTTTTGCTCCCATAGACAGTGTTGGCTCTTTGGGTTCTTGTTTAACTTGGTTCACAGACAGAGTATCTTCTAGACTTTCTTCAACTTTAAAACCAAACAAACAAACCCAAAAGGGTTAGTATATTTTACAACACTGTGGTCTGTAAAGTTATATAAACTTAAAGCCAGGCATGATGGTGTATACCTGTAATCCCCACACTAGATCATGGAAAGCAGAGGATCAGGAGTTCAAGGTCATCCTTAGTAATGCAGCCAATTTAAAGCCAGCCTGGTTTACATGAGACTTTATCTTTAAAAAATAATAACAATCTGAATTTAGAATAAACTCAAATATACCACGGTTTAGAAAAGGGTCATGGTGAAATTGAGAAAAATATCTGGCATATTTGAAAACACAGTGGCACATTTTAAAATGATGGTTCTGTCTCAGCGGTGTGAACTATGTGTTTGCTGATCTAGAACACTTCAGAACACATGCGCACTCTCCACTGTGCTTATAACCCCATGCGTGGAGAGCCAGCACACCAGCAGGAACACTGTCAACTGGCCAATGCAGTGCCTAGCATCTTCATCTTTTTGTTTGTTTTGTTTTTGAGACAGGTTCTCCTATGCCGGCCTTGTACCGTCACACCTGGCCTCAAATCTTCACCTCCCTTTGTCAGGAACCTCTGCTATTCAGCCGTTCTTAGAGAGCAGAGTTTGGAGGGACTGCGGCTTGCTTAGTTAGCGGTATGCTGAACAACATATCGATACTGTTACAGGTATATGGGACTTTATACTGAAGCTCAGTCAGCGACATGGGGAACCGCAGAGGATGGATCTGAATGACCCCCGGTGCTCACATCCTGTTGGAATACATTGCTGGATGGTTAGAGGTCGCAGTCTGCCATGGCCTGGCAGCTTATCTCAAAGGCTCAGCCACATGGAGCTCTCTCCCTCCAGCAAAGCTTTCTGCTCTCCACCTGCCCTTATCTGGAGGACTGACCTTATCTAAAAGCTGTCTCTAAACCAGATGCCTGATTCATCTTTAGCTTGACCCTTGGCACAGACCCCTGCTGAGAAGACTTGTGCTAGGACTCTGTTATAGGACCCTGCTGCACAAACTAAGCCTTGGGACAGGAGCATGACAGTTCATGTAAATTAGGTTGGTCCCCGGGCTCCGCGACGCTATACATTCCTCATCCTCTGGAATACAGCTGAGCTGGTTCAGGAGTCTGTCTCCGGGCCTCCCTCCATCTGGCTCATGGGCCATCTCCGAAGCTTTCTGTCGCCCCTCCTCCTCTTTCCCCTCTCCACCTGGTAGCCAACAGGCCGAGAGTGAAAGTGAACCCCGAAACATCCTGGTGAAGTAACCCCCAGATTATGACCTCACCAAACAAATCATACAGATTTGGATTCTCTGAAAGCAATGTGGATTTATGCTCCCGGAAATACTATGTGATAAAACAGAGGGAGAGAGGAAGCTTTAGAAGGTAAGACATACAATACCCGGGCTTAGTTCCCTCCTCTATCACTTACTAAATGTGAGTACTAGGCAATTACTTAACCTCCCTGAGCCTTGGTTTCTCTATCTGTAGAATGGGAATATAGCTAATTTTCTCATGGCATTATGAAAATATATATATATATATATATATATATATATATATATATATATATTCATTTTTCTCCTTATCTATAATGTTACTCTGTAGCTACAAAAGTTCTCTGTAAATTTCCTACACGTGTGTTTCCCCATAAATTTAAAAGGCTGTAACTCGTTCTAGAAGGAGCTATTCACAGTTTTATTTACCAAAATAATGATGATTAAGATAGAGGTAAATACATGTTCTAAGAAGGATTTCTGTTAAGACTTTTATACTTCAAAGCAAAATGCATACTTATCTCTTCCCATAGAAGTATGTTGGCCAAACAGGCTGTGTGGAAGGAATGTGGTGAGGTCACCTGGGAGCTAACCCACTTTATCACTATGACGACTGGGGTCAGCAGCCAAAGGAAGACATCAGGTCTTCAAATAGACTCAGTGCCCAGCTCTTCCTGTAGCCCTGCACAGAACTCAACACTTAAGTGTATAACCCAACCTCTTACATTCTATCGACTCTTATCTACTACTCACTTCCATCCTTTCTGTGTGCATTTATCAACTTCTTGTTTTCATACTCTTTGCGCTAAAGCAGTTTCCCTTACATGATTTGCTTCTAGCACATTTTATGCATTCTAAAATAACTTTCCTGGTTTTACATCACCATAGATTTTCCATGGAAAATCAGGTAATTAAGAAACAAGTTATGGGGCTAGGGAGATGGCCCAGAGGTTAAGAGCACTTGTTCTCGCAGAGGACCAGGTTCAGTTCCCAGCACCCACACGGTGATTTACAACCATCTGGATCTCCATTTCCAGGAGATCCAATGCCCTCTTTTGCCTCCCCAGAAACCAGGAACACACGTGGTGCACACACATACACACAGGCGAAACACTTGTGTGCATAATGAAATAAATAAATCTGGCTGGGCATGGTGGTGAATGTGAGTTCGAGGCCAGCCTGGTCTACACAGTGAGTTCCAAGACAGCCAGAGCTACAAAGTGAGACCCTATCTCAAAAAATAAAAATTAAAAATTAAAATTACTAAAAATGAATAATTCTCCCACCTATGCTCTTCCCTTCTTTCCCTGTCTGCCCTGGGGACTGAGGACCTGCTGGGCAGCAAAGTACTCTACCATCCCAGCCTCTTTCATTTTGAGAGAGGGTCTTGCTGAAATGTTCAGGCTGGGTAGCACTTGTTTGTAGCCCAGACTGTCCTTGAACTTGCAATCTTTCCACCTAAGCCTTCTAAGTGCTGGGATAGACAATGGATAATTTCACTGTGACTAAATAATAACAATTAAACATAATAAGAAAAAAATATTAAGTTAATGAAATTCTTTTCCTCTCATAATTTTGTTTGAACTTTACAATATTATAAACCCACTGGGTAGAAATGACAGATTTTTTTTTTCTGTTGTTTGATGTAGTGATACCAGGCTATAAAAGATTACAAATAATCATAAATTGACAGTCACTTACTAAGAGCTGGATGGCTGTCTATGATTCGTATTGGAACAGTTTGTACATCTTCCAAGAGAATGTTATTTACACTTCCTTCCAGATTCCCCGTATCCTCAACATCTTCAACTTCCACCAGCTGATCCATTCCGAGATTCTGAACTGATTCCGAGAGATTCCCCATGGTAGAGGCAGCGCTATTGTTTTGTGTTAGGCATGTATCTGTTCGAAGGCTCTGGCTTTGACCGAGCAGCAGAGAATGATTATTCACTACAGCATTTCCTACTGTATCCAGAAGTACTGAAGGACTGGAGGAGGGACCGCTAGTTCCTGACACCAGAGCTTGTGATCCATCAGGAGAGGAAAGTCTTGGCTGTAACTTCAAACCCTTCCAAAGAGAAAAGAGTTGTATCACCATGTTTGGATTTACTATGTATGACATTCTCACTAAATATTCTTTTGAAAAAAAGAAATTAGAACACAAAGTAATAGGAATGTAGTCACTAACAAATATTCCATGAGGATGGAAACAAGAACCAAGGAAAGCAGTACCACAGACCTTTCTGCGGTCACGTCTCCTCAAACTTTTCAAAACATAGAACCTGAACTATCATCTTACATCAAGACACAAAGGACTAGAGGATTAACGATAAAGAAATATGTGGCCATTATTGTAACTTCACAGCAATTCTCTGAAATCCTTACAAGAGGAATCACGGAAGAAGAAGATCCCAGACTTAGCTGTTGAGTGGGTGCCTACCTGTAAGTGTGAGAAGATTTTGGGCTGAAATGAGGAAAGTGGGGAGAGCAGGCGACATGGCTCTGGAGACAGAGAAGTCTGTGTCCGACGCGCCCCAACGCTGCTGGCAACGGGTTCTCCTACTGAATGTCCTAACAGAACAGGAGACAGACACAATCATTTCTCTTGAACTTGATAGCAATCATGACTATCAGAATCAGAAGAGAAGACAAGACCAAGTCCGAGGTTTGCAATGACTCAGAGTCGTCAGGAAGCGAGGCAAGGCGGTAAGTGCACACAGCCCTCACTCTGGTGTGGACACAGGCAGTGGCACAAGGATATTCTTGGCTACAGAAGTGAGTTTGAGGACAGCCTGGGCTACTTGGTGACCTGTCTGAAAACAAACAAAATCATCACAAATCAGCAAGTCAACACACAGCCAGGCATGGCAACACATAGGAGTCAGAGGCCTGTGGATCTCTGTATGAGGCCAGCCTGGTCTACAGTGTGAGTTCCAGGACAGCCAGGCCTACACAGCGGGACCCTACCTCAAAATTAATGAATTAATAACCCAAAACTAGCCTGGCATGGCACCTCATGCTTGTAATTCCTAGTACTTTTGAGGCTATCAAAGGGGGACTACCATGAGTTTGAGGCCAGCCTAAAATATTCTAGACCAGCCTGGGAACAGAGAGAGACCCTGTTTCAAAACAACACCAAAGAAGCAAAAACCACAATGCACATAGAAACACAGCCACACAGCCACACACCAAGCCCAGGGTATCTAGTTTGCTGTTTCCAGAACCTGCCAGATCATCAGAACTTCCAATGGGAACTCCAAAAATATGGATTTCTAGATTCAACCTTCATTCAACTCCTCCTTCGTTCCTCCATTCCTTTCTTATCCTGTTTGTTTATTTATTTATTTATTTATTTATTTATTTATTTTTTCAACTTGACATGAACTAGTTATTTGGGAAGAGGGAACCTCAATTGAAAAAAATGCCTTCATGAGACTGGCCTATAGGAATATCTGTGAAATACTTTCTGGATTAATGATTGATGTGAGAAGGCCTAGCCCACTGTGGGCAGTACCATCACTGGGCAGGAGGTACTATATAAAAAGTCAAGGTGAATGAACAAGCCATAGAGAGCAAATCAGTAATCAGAGCTTCTTCATGGTCTGTGCGTCTGTTCCTGCCCTGATTTCCCTCAGTGACGGATCATGACCTAAGAGCTGGGAGCTGTAAGATAAAATAAATTCTTTCCTCTGGGTTGCTTTTACTCATGGTGTTTACCACAGCAACAGACGGTAAAAGAGGATACCCTTCGGGCTGGAGAGATGGCTCAGAGGTTAAGAGCACTGGCTGCTCTTCCAGAGGTCCTGAGTTCAATTCCCAGCAACCACATGGTGGCTCACAACCATCCGTAACAAGATCTGGTGCTCTCTTCTGGCTTGCAGTCATATATGCTGTATACATAATAAATAAATATTTAAAAAAAAAAAAGAGGATACCCTTCCTTCCGTCCTCCTCCCTCCCTCCCTCCCTCCCTCCCTCCCCCCTCTCTCTGTGATGGGGACTAACCGGGGCCTCTGCATGTTAGACTAATGCTCCATACTGTGTTACAATCCAGTCCTTAATTTCCATGTATTTCATTCAGGTTCTCAGTCAGGCTGGGCAGCAAATGTCTTTACTGGCTGGGCCATCTCATCCACCCAGATTTTTACCCAAGTACATCTAGAGTGAGGTCTAGAGATACTGTCATTGATAAGCTATTCAATGTGTCTAAGTTCAGAGCGTAGGCCATCAACTGAGTCCACACTACCGTCATCATCTTCACGGACACAGCAGAGCAGCTGTGTTTCTGTTTTGTTGATCTATTTGTAAAAATTATTCCTTTTATGTTTTGAAATTACAGTATAAATATATCATTTCCTCTTTCCCTTTCCTCCTTCCAACCCCATATATTCCTCTTGCTCCCTTTCAAATTCATGGCCTCTATTTTCATTAATTGTTGTTAGGAATATGTAAATACATATATGTACCTAACAAAAATAATCCAGTTTTAATTCTAAACATTTTCTATACTAAATCTTTATTAGCCTTCTTAAGTTTCTAGACTTTTTTTTTTTTTTTTTAAAGATTTATGGGGGCTGGAGAGATGGCTCAGCAGTTAAGAGCACTGACTGCTCTTCCAAGGACCTGGGTTCAATTCCCAGCACCCACATGACAGCTCACCACTGTCTGTAATTGCAACTCCAGGAGTTCTGACACCTTCACACAGACACACATGCAAGCAGAAACATCAATGCACATAAAATTTAAAAAAAAGATTTTATTTATTATGTATACAGTGTTCTGCCTGCATGTATGGCTGCAGGCCAGAAGAGGGCACCAGATCTTACTGCAGATGGTTGTGAGCCACCACATGGTTGCTGGGAATTGAACTCAGGACCTCTGGAAGAGCAGCCATTGCTGTTAACTGCTGAGCCATCCCTCCAGCCCCAAGTTCCTGTTTTTTTAAGTTTCTTAAAAAAAAAAAAAAAAAAAAAAAAAAAAAAAAAGCATGTATCTTTCTTTCTTTATTGTTTTTATTCTTTAATGTGAATTGGTACTTTGCCTGCATGTGTGTCTGTATGAGGGTGTAGGATCCCCTGCATTGGAGTTACAGACAATTGTGAGCTGCCGTGTGGGTGTTGGGAAATCACCTGAGCTGTCTGGAAGAGTGGCCAGTGTTCTTAACCACTGAACCATCTCTCCAGCCAGCCTACCCACCTCCCTCTTTTTAAAGTTTCTTAAACATGACTTTTTTTTTTTTTTTTTTGCTTTGGTGTTGACACATGCCATTCTATTGATTAGAAAATTCTAATTCAGCAGGGTGGTGGTGGTAGCACATATCTTTAATCCCAGCACTCGGGAGGCAGAGGTAGGCAGATCTCTGTGAGTTCGAGGCCAGCCTGATCTACAAAGAGAGTTCCGAGACAGCCAGGACTGTTATACTAAGAAATCTTGTCTGGAAAAAAAGAAAAGAAAGAAAGAAAAAAAGAAAATTATAATTCATTCTTTAGTTCTCAGGCTTAAAAGTGACCTTTTCTTTTTGTCTCTCCTCTAGATAGGGTCTTACTATGTAGCTCCGTCTATCCTAGAACTCACTCTGTAGTCCAGGCTAGCCTCGAACTCACAGAGATCCGCCTTGCTCTGCCTCCCGAGTGCTGGGATTAAAGGCGTGGGCCACTACACCCAGCTCTAAAACTGACATTTTCAAGAGTGACACCCTCCCGTCCCTTCCCCTAGTGTATGTCTCTAGCACAGCTCTCACATGGCACTTTTCACAACACTAATTAATTAGAAAACATTTGTTTAGTGTTTTTTTCTTTGCTAGCCTTTAGTCCATGAAGGAGGAACCTGCTTGCACTTGGCACAGCAACTTAATAAAGTAAAACGCACAGGTGATGCCAACGAGCATCGGTGTACAGACAATGTAAGAACTAGCGCAGCCGCGAGGTGACCTGTGCAGGTTAACAAGTGGCCGAAAATACTCTGCCTACAGTTATCCATTAACTGATTCTAGAGTGATTATGGTGTTAGTGGTTTAGCAGACATTATCCTCTGGAAACTTAGTTTGATTAACTAAACCCTTGCCTCTGAAGAGCCTGAATAACACCTAAAGCTACAAATGTGTCAACAGCAGCCTACCACAGTAGGTACCGAGGTAAATGGAACATAACGAGGAGCTCCCTTAATGTAAGAGACAAGGTTAGAAAACCCTCAAGACCAGAGACTGTTCTGTGTGAGAAAAGAATTTTCCACACAGAAGAGAGAAGACATTTCCAGGAGACAGAACACACGTAAAAGAGTAAATAAAAACAAACAAACAAACAAACAAAAGAAGCTTCAGATATTTCGGGAACATAGGAGTTGAGAACATATGAGACAGGTGGGCGGTGGTGGCGCACGCCTTTGATTCCAGCACTCGGGAGGCAGAGGCAGGCACATCTCTGTGAGTTCGAGGCCAGCCTCGTCCACAGAGCAAATTCCAGGACAGCTGGAGCTACGCAGAGAAACCCTGCCTGAGAAAAGCAAACAATCCCAGGGAGACAACAGTTTGCAGATCAAGGTGCACTGTCCATTCTTCTGGTTGACTCTGCTAATACAGCCTCGAATCTCAGTTACAGTCAGACATGGTGGCACACGTTTAGAACCCTAGCATTTAAGGGGCTGAGGCAGGAGGATCACAAGTTCTAGGCCATCTAGATACTATTACTCAGCAACAAACCATTTTTCTTGGTCATAAAGAAGCATAAAGGTTCTAGAAATCCTTTGATAAATTCCAACATAGCTACTCTTTCCCTCGTTAGAGTCAGGTCTCCTCATCTATAAAGTCTGATTACACGACAGTCAGGGACAGGGCACAGTGAGTGAAGTACTTGATGGGCAAGCATGAGGATGTGGGTTCGAGTCCCCAGCCCCCACAGAAACGCCAGGAACAGCCATGAGCGTCTGTAAACCCAGCTCTAGGGAGCAGAGAAGGGACACCCCAGGGCTTGCTGACCAGCTCAGTGAGCTCCAGGGTTAGTGAGAAAGCCAGGCCCCAAATGAATAAATGAAAGATATGGGGAGTAATGGTGGACATTGACCTCTGCCCTTCACACACGCATATACACCTGTACACATGAGCACACATACAAAAATTCCTTAAAACTGATTCTATAAGATAGCTAAAGTTCTTTCCAGATATAACACCAATTTATTTTTATGTTATAAAAATATTCAAAAATAACCTACCTTCTGCAAATGTAACTGTTACAGTCTCTCTGAGAATATTCCCACTATCTGTGGTCCACTGAAGCTGAAATCAGAACATTTGTTTCAGTAAAAACAAAGCAGTTACATTGAAAATTATCTTAAAACATTAATACAGCTATCATACCTTCTTTCACAAATTTACACTTACATACTTATTTTGTGTCTCATGCACCCACATGCCGTGGCACACATATGGAACCCAGAGGACAACACTGAGTCTACTTCCATTGAGATGGCATCTGTCACGGGCATGGAGCCCACCGGTTTGGCTAGAGTGACCAGCCAGCCAGCCAGCTCCACCCCCGCCTCCACCTCCCCAGCACTGGGGCTGTGAGTCCCCACCCACCACACTGAGCATTTGTATGTGGGTTCCAGGGGACCACACTTAGATCACCGTGCTTACGAGGCAAACCCGGTACAGAGTCAGCTCCCCCCTCCCCCGCTGCCTATTTTATTTTCATCACACTTGTGCTTTGTTCTGTGATCACCCTCTACTTGTTTACATTCCTAAAGCTCCGGTATGTCTCACTATGTTAGGGTCTGTGAATTCAGATGTCAACAATTTGGATAGGAAATGTAGATGGCAAATCTATTTATTTATTTCTTGAATTACGTACCGTAATAATTAAGTCTGGATATAACACAAACAAACAAAAACCACCCCAGTAGGTCTAGCATTTGAAATATCCAAGTACTAGGAGAGATGGCTCAGCAGTTAAGCACCAGCTGATCTTCCAGAGGACCCGGGTTTGATTCCCAGCACCCGTGATGGTGGCTCACAACCACCTTTAACCCCAGGTTCAGGGAATCTGACACCCTCTTCTGGCCTCCATGGGCCCCAGGCATGCAAGCAGAACATCCACATACATACAAAAATAAGTACAACTCAAAAATGTCCAGATACTAAAACTTGGCAGTGAAAAGTCAGGAAGGCCAAGGTTAGCGCTCCTCGGATTTAACTCCTCAGTCACTGCCTCTGTTGTGGTCACTCTTTCTGGACAACTATGGTCAGATTATCTCAGAAACCACAACAGACAGATCTAAGTCAAACACTGATATGCACAGACGGTACACAGAGCTCACACCTGACCCTGAGCTACTTAACCTTGACCATCTGTTCTTAAAAATGGAGCAAGGAGGGCAGGCGGTGGTGGCGCACGCCTTTAATCCCAGCACTCGGAAGGCAGAGCCAGGCGGATCTCTGGGAGTTCGAGGCCAGCCTGGGCTACCAAGTGAGTTCTGGGAAAGGCGCAAAGCTACACAGAGAAACCCTGTCTCAAAAAACCAAAAAA